TTCTCGCCTACATCGTCCATATAGGACGACTCGGGAACTCAACTCCTACCCCGGGCAGCTCACCTATCCCCTTATGCCCAGGGGAAAGGTATCAAGCCGTTTGACAGCTGATGCTGGCTGTCAAACCGGCTTTTACGCAAAACAGGCGGGAGGCAGCAAACAGCTGCAACCGACGAAATCGCCTGCCACCGGAAGTCTCTAACGTATCAAATTGTTGTATTTTACTCCCAATTTCATTTTAATTTGTTTTTAGAAGGTTTTTATTAATAATTGATGTTTGGAATTCTGTATTCTGATATGGCCTATGGGCTAATCAATAAACTACTAAAACCAAATGCATAGAAACAAAAACCTGGTTTCAATTCAAGCTTGTGATGTGCAGGCGCCTCTTCTTATTCCAGTGCTTAGGGGGAAAGCTCGTTCTTTCTTTATGGAAGACCAGGAGCATGAAGGCTCCCACCTTCTATCAAGATTTAGACTCCCCAATAATACAGTCAGGAAGATCATATCTACCTCCTGTCTTAGATGTGTTTCAGCGGCAATGCCGGTGGGCGCTTCTGAGTTGTTCCTTGTTTCCTTGTTCTATTAATAGGATGGAGCTGGCAACCATTTAGGGCCCCCCACACACAGAAGCAAGAACTTCACGAATTTTTAGGCCTCAGCACTTGGCTAATCTTTTTTTTTTTAATTTTTATTGATTTTTATAATTAAACAGCAAATACCAATATGATGCATTTACATACACAAGCAGAAAAAAGATAATCCAAGTCAATACATTTTCGGAAACGCTCGGCAGTCCCCGCCTTGCCTCCACCCTCATTCACTTTCCTATCCTTCCTCCCTCTAAACCCACAACCTCTCCTCCTTTCCACCTACCTACATCCCATCTCCCTTCTTAACCACCTCATCGAGTGCAGTTTGGGGTACCAGCCGAGCATCTCCTCTTTTCAATACAATTATTGTTTACCTATAACATATAAATACATCAATTTTTATAATTTCTGTCCCCTAATCCCCTTCCCCCCCCTGGACTTCCCGGAACCAAATACAGGATTAAAGCACATCCCATTCCATATCTAAAGCACTTGGCTAATCTTTTGAAACTAACTACGGTCAACCTTCAGTCATTTGCAGAGGCGGATTTCGAGGAGTTATCTTGCAGCGCGCCAGACGAAAAACTGGCTGGAACAATCTTCACCAGACCCCAAGCGAGGTCCACTTTCTGATTGGCTGTTGTACGTCATTTTCCCCCTAAGACACTTTCCTTTGATTTAGATGCCGCAAGAGGGACGATGATATCCCTCTTGGGAGACCTAAAAGAAAGGGATTAAGATAGATCAGGGGTAGGCAACCTGGGCTCTTTTATGACGCGTGGACTTCAACTCCCAGAATTCCTGAGCCGGCATGGCTCAGCTTGGAAACCTCTCCCTTTCCCCTCAGCATGGCTGGCTCAGGAATTCTGGGAGTTGAAGTCCACGAGTCATAAAAGAGCCCAGGTTGCCTACCCTTGGGATAGTGTTTCTCAACCTTGACAATTTTAAGGCATGTGGACTTCAACTCCCAGAATTCCACAGCCAGCATTGCTGGCTGTGGAATTCTGGGAGTTGAAGTCCACATGCCTTAAAATTGTCAAGGTTGAGAAACACTGGGATAGATCATGAGTAGGCAACCTGGGCTGGCTCAGGAATTCTGGGAGTTGAAGTCCACGAGTCATAAAAGAGCCCAGGTTGCCTACCCCTGGGATAGAGATCCTCAGGGAGGAAAGCGATCCACGAGCTCCTTGGGAGCCGAATACGACTCGATGGCAGATAAGGAAGTATGAAAGTGTGAGAGAACGGGAGGGAGGGAGGGAGGTTGAGCTGGAACAAATTGGAACGATAGAAGATTGGACTGCTAGAGAGGACTTTGGGGAAAGGGCAGAGGAACTTCCTCTTCCGGCTCACTTATGGGAGGAGGAGGATGGCGTCGCGGGTCCAAAGGGTGGAAGCGGCTCCCGGGAGGTGAGTGGAGGGCAGGTCGGAGGAGAAGCCGGGAGCAAGTGGGGCTGTTTCTTTTCCTCCGCGGCGTGGAAGCAGCGAAGGGACGAGGCTGAAACGCGTCGGCTGATGCTGCAAATTCTTTCTCCAAATGTTATTCCTCTGGTACTGCACGGTTTAAACTGCTTTCTGCTGGGAGATTTGGGAGATTTCAAGAAATCTTTATACATTGTTCATATTTCTTAACCACCCATCTCCTTCAGCCTTCGCCTGACACGATTCGTTGTGATTTTATTGACATGTTGTTTTCCTGGCAAGTGAGGAGTTTCATGGGCAAAAGGGATGCTTTAAATCTGGCGTTGGCTTTGGGCACCATTTCATCTGTTAGCGTCCCCACCTTTCTAAACGTAGATCAAACAAATTGAGTGAATCCACTTCTGAAACCTTTTGAAGACTGAAATAAACAAAGATCTACATCCATAAATTTATAGGTGGGTTAAAGATCTACATCCATAAATTTATAGGTGGAGGTATACCTGTATCTGTGTAAACCTAAGTATTTTCAGGTATTTTAATAACAATTTGCAATGATAATAATTTGTGATTTACTCAAGCCAATGAGAATTTCATGATCTGAAATATGAGTGGATATTTGTACCTGGATTTTGCTAGTCTTCCATGTGCCTAATGAATCATAATGAATGTTAGAAGTTAAACTAGCATTTTGATGTTTGCTTTTTCATAGTAATACATGGATGTGTTTTTTTTGCTGTTTTCATAGGTTCTGCAGCAATTTTTTAAACGACAATGAAACTAACCCATTAATGTGAATCTTATAGACAAAGAGGATGCCAAGAAGAGCACTCTGGACAACAGACAATGAGAAGCAGCATTAAAATGCAAAACAAACCATCAAACAAAATCTTTTCCTCTCCTTCCAGAAAGTGCTAAAACTCTTCTGTTTCCTCAGCTAATAGAGATAAGGGAGAGAATAACAGGAACAGAATTTTCAGGTAGAAAAAATAGAATATGTGGAACTCAAGGACATATTGCATAAAAAGGTAAAATGATATAATTACCAAATTCAGAAAAAGGGGGAAATAGCTGGACATCAGTGGGAAGGAAAAGGTCCCTTGGATAGCTAAAGGCATTAATGAAAGACTTCGAGGAAGGAAAGAGTGTCTTGAAATCAAAGCACCACCAGATAAGGGATCAGAAATATTTTTGACCTCCTCATCAGAATATCAGTGTTGGGAAAAATAAAGCCACAGACTGCCTATTTTGGCAAAAACACAGATTGCAGATCCCATCTGATTTATGCATAAATCAATCCACCTCATGAAAAACCATATAAATGCTTGGAGTGCAGCAAAAGCTTTACCCAGAACAGCAGTCCTATGATTCATATAACGACCGATGCAGGAAGAACCGCTCTACCAGTGCTCCCAATGTGGTAAAAAAATTAGCATACAAACCAATCTGGTGAGACACAAGAGTACTCGCACTGGGGAGAAACTCTTGTTTCTGTTTGTAGGAAAATTTTCACTTGGAATTCTGGCCTGGTGATACACCAGAGGATTCACATTGGAGAAAAAACATATGAGTGTATTGTGTGAAAAGTTTCAGTCAGAATTCCAAGCTGCTGATACACCAGAGGGCTCAAACAGGAGTAAAACCATATGAGTGTCTGGATTGTGAGAAAAAATTCAGTCACAAATCCCACCTGGTGAAACACCAGACAACGCACATGGAAGAGAAACCATATGAGTTTTCAGATTGTCAGAATTCCAAGCTGGTGAGACACGAGAGGGCTCACACCAAAGAGAACCCATATGAGTGTCTGGATTGTGGGAAAAGTTTCAGTCAGAATTCCAAGCTGGTGAGACACCAGAGGATTCACACGGGAGAGAAACCATATGAGTGTCCAGATTGTGNCAGACAACGCACATGGAAGAGAAACCATATGAGTTTTCAGATTGTCAGAATTCCAAGCTGGTGAGACACGAGAGGGCTCACACCAAAGAGAACCCATATGAGTGTCTGGATTGTGGGAAAAGTTTCAGTCAGAATTCCAAGCTGGTGAGACACCAGAGGATTCACACGGGAGAGAAACCATATGAGTGTCCAGATTGTGGGAAAAGTTTCAGTCAGAATTCCAAGCTGGTGAGACACCAGAGGATTCACACGGGAGAGAAACCGCATGAGTGTCCAGATTGTGGGACAAGTTTCAATTGGAATTCAGAACTTGTGGTACACCAGAGGATTCACACAGGAGAGAAACCATATAAGTGTTCTGATTGCGGGAAAGGTTTTCATCGAAATCCTGACTTGGTGATACACAAAAGGACACATACAGGAGAAAAACCATATGAGTGTCCAGACTGTGGAAAAAGTTTCAGTCACAATTCCACCCTGGTGATACACAAGAGGACCCACACAGGAGAGAAACCGTATGAATGTCCGGATTGTGGGAAAGATTTCAGTAACAATTCCAACCTGGTGATACACCAGAGGAATCACATGGGAGAGAAACTGCATGAGTGTCCAGATTGTGGGAAAAGTTTCAATTGGAATTCGGAACTTGTGGTACACCAGAGGATTCACACAGGAGAGAAACCTTATAAGTGTCCTGATTGTGGGAAAGATTTCCATCGAAATTCTGACTTGGTGATACACAAGAGGACACACACAGGAGAAAAACCATATCAGTGTCCAGATTGTGGAAAATATTTCAGTCACAATTCCAGCCTGGTGATACACTTGAGAACTCACACAGGGGAAAAACCGTATGAATGTCCGGATTGTGGCAAAGATTTCAGTACTAGATCTAGCCTTATAAATCATGTAAGGTTACACATAGGGGAGTAACCATTCAAATACCCAGATTGTGCACAGTTTTACACACAAAATTCCTCCCTTATCACAGAAGAAATTCCACATGAGGAATTAACACATGATCTGTGCAGAGGAATATTGAATTTCGTTTCTTGTCTCTTATTGGAAGCTCAGCTGAGAAATAATTTAATTTCTTGCATGATTTTGTTTAGTCAAGCATGTCTTATTATTAAACGTGAGGGAGGAGATCTGGACTTCCTTTCGCCCACTGTGGTCGTTCCCTTTCATGGTGTCGAGGGGAACTGCTGTGCTGGGCCAGAGAAAGCGAGCTTAGATCTGTATTAGGTATGTTTGCCATCTTGAGTTATGTCTACATATAATAAATGTGGGGTTTGTATCTTTAGTAAGAAAATGTATATGGCAGCCCAACTCATGGTGACTCCACATGATTTATAGCAATAAAACCTTAATACAAAAACCAATAAATACCACATATTGAAAGGCAAAATGCAAAGCCTCATTTAACAGGTACTTGATCTGCAACTACAAGGTATTTCTAACAAGATTATTGGTATTTTGATGGTCTGGGAATTTCGAAAAGCTGATTCCTGCTTTTGTCCAAATTAAAAGTTAACCAGGCTTCTGGCCTATTACATTTATGCCCTGTGCTGTTCTTGCTTAAAGATGATAATCTTTCTCCTTTCTCCAAGAAGACAGACAGACAGACAGACAGATAGATGCATAGCAGCATATAAATTTGATGAATGAATGAATGGATGCTCTTCAGTCTCTCAAGCAACTTGCAGATGGGCAGCCTCAGTGGATTCATTCGTTCCTTTTTCCTCTGATTTATTTATAATATTTATGTAGCCACCCGTGTTATGAAAAATTTTGGCCAGGTCCCAATCCAATTTACTTAACCTAGAGTTATTTCTACATATAATAAGCACAAGATATTTATCTTTATTGGTTAAAAATATGTATGTGGCACCCCAACTCATAGTGACTCCACACGATTTACAGCAATAAAACCTGAATACAGAAACCAATAGACCTCAAACATGACAAAATGCAAAGCCCCCACAGTTAACACTTACTTGACCTTTAAACACAGGGCACTTCAAGCAAGATTGATGGCATTTTGATGGTCTGGGAGTCCCAAAAAGGTGATTCTTGCTTTTGTTCAATTTAGAAGTTAACCAGGCTTCCTGGCCTTACTAACCAACCATTGGGAACCCCATATTAATACAACATATCTTACGTGTGGGCAGAATTTGAAAAACAACGTTTAATATGGCAGAGTACTTGAGTAAAATGGTTTGGCTGAGATCAGCATATGTGGGACTTATCGGGACAGATTTTAGGAGTGATACTGAAATATAATTCTATCTTATTTCACTTATCAATGTATCAAATTGTTGTATTTTACTCCCAATTTCATTTTAATTTGTTTTTAGAAGGTTTTTGTTAATAATTGATGTTTGGGATTCTGTATTCTGATATGGCCTATGGGCTAATCAATAAACTACTAAAACCAAATGCATAGAAACAAAAACCTGGTTTCAGTTCAAGCTTGTGATGTGCAGGCGCCTCTTCTTTTCCCAGTGCTTAGGGGGAAAGCTCGTTCTTTCTTTACGGAAGACCAGGAGCATAAAGGCTCCTGCCTTCTATCAAGTTTTAGACTCCCCAATAATACAGTCAGGAAGATCATAGCTACCTCCTGTCTTAGATGTGTTTCAGCGGCAATGGCCTGTTTCATTGTTCTATTAATAGGATGGAGCTGGCAACCATTTAGGGCCCCACACACACAAGCAAAAACTTCACGAATTTTTAGGCCTCAGCACTTGGCTAATCTTTTGAAACTAACTACGGTCAACCTTCAGTCATTTGCAGAGGCGGATTTCGAGGAGTTATCTTGCAGCGTGCCAGACGAAAAACTGGCTGGAACAATATTCACCAGCCCCCAAGCGAGGTCCACTTTCTGATTTGCTATCGTTACGTCATTTTCCCCCCTAAGACACTTTCCTTTGACGTAAATGCAGCAAGGACGATGACGTCCCTCTTGAGAGACCTGAAAGAAAGGGATTAAGATAGATCAGGGGTAGGCAAACTGGGCTCTTTTATGACTTGTGGACTTCAACTCCCAGAATTCCTGAGCCGGCGTGGCTCAGCTTGGAAACCTCTCCCTTTCCCCTCAGCATAGCTGGCTCAGGAATTCTGGGAGTTGAAGTCCACGAGTCATAAAAGAGCCAAGGTTGCCTACCCTTGGGATAGTCAGTGTTTCTCAACCTTGACAATCTTAAGGCATGTGGACTTCAACTCCCAGAATTCCACAGCCAGCATTGCTGGCTGTGGAATTCTGGGAGTTGAAGTCCACATGCCTTAAAATTGTCAAGGTTGAGAAACACTGGGATAGATCATGAGTAGGCAACCTGGGCTGGCTCAGGAATTCTGGGAGTTGAAGTCCACGAGTCATAAAAGAGCCGAGGTTGCCTACCCCTGGGATAGAGATCCTCAGGGAGGAAAGCGACCGACGAGCTCGTCGGGAGCCGAATACGACTCGATGGCAGATAAAGAAGTACGAAAGCAGTGAAAACAAAGGCTTTTAAGGTAGGACGAGCGTGATTTTCAACCTTACGTCGCTAGATGGCGCTCTACAAAGAAGCATCAAGTCGTGCCTAGAAAGCAATGAATACAATGGTACAGCAGCCGCATCGCTAGTATTGACGTCGTACGGGGGGGGGGGGCAGAGAGGCCGAGCTGGAACGAATCGAAACGATAGAGTATTGGATTGCTAGAGGGGATGAGGAGGGGAAGGACAGAGCAACTCCCAATTCCGGCTCGCCCACGGGAGGAGGAGGAGGAGGAGGATGGCGTCGGTGGAGCCTTTTGTGCTGTTTTGAGAGTGGAAGCGGCTCCCGGGAGGTGAGTGGAGGGCAAGGTGGGAGGAGAAGCCGGGAGCAAGCCGGGCTCTTTGCTTTCCTCCACGGCGTGGAAGCAGAGCAAGCAACGAGGCTGAAAGATGTCGGCTGCTGCTGCAGCAGCATATTCTTTCTCTCCCCAAATGTTATTACCCTTCCTTCTGCCGCATCGCTTAAAGCTGCTGCCTGCCATTTTCTGCTGGGAGATTTGGGATTAATAAGCTAACAATCGGAGTTTACAAGTTTTTTATAGCCTTAGCTGAATGACAGCAGTTTTTCCAATGGTTTACAGCTTCAGTCTTGAACCATTGACCCTCCATTCTCTTCACTTATACAAGTGTCTCTAGTCCTGCAAAAAAAACATATTTACTTAATCCCTTTTCAGTGAGAGGCTAGGTTACCTGTGGGCGCTGCGTTCCCTGTAACAGCAGAACACAACACTATGGAAAGTATAAGTATTGCCGCTCCTAATTGTGCGTTGCGTGCCATATAGTGAAGCACATGAAAAGCATGCTTCTTCACGGTCACTTAACGTGTTCGTTTTGCGGTTACGTGAGGCACACTGCATGCATTGGTCTTTATTCTTACAGTAGAGAAGTCATTAATTATAACTTTTTGTGAATTGGGACATTTAAACTTGCTTTTTTTTTTAATTCCAATCTAAATTTAGTAGGAGTCGGAGTCGGTGCATTGTTTGCCGACTCCGACTCCAGGTACCCAAAATTTCCTCCGACTCCTCGACTCCGACTCCACAGCCCTGTTTGGGACATTGGAAACGTCTTTGTTTTTCATATTTTTTTTTAACCGCCCGTCTCCCTGGATTCCTTGTGATTTTATTGACAGGTTGTTTTCTTGGCAAGCGAGGAGTCTCACGGGCAAAACGGAGGATTTAAATCTCTCGTAGGATTTGGGCACCGTTTCATCTGTTAGCGTCCCCCCGCTTTCAAAATTAAGTCAAAATAATTGAGTGGCTGCACTTCTGGGGCATTTTGCAGATTGGAATACAGACAATTCTTTACCTAAATAAATTCTTAGTAGTGTATTTCTCTTGTGGAAAACGAAAGAACTCTTACGAATTCCAGAGGGGGTTAGCAGAGAAGTTTATTTCGCAGGTTCAGAGGAATAATGGAGACAGGCAATTCTGAACAAG